CTGCAGGGCTCCCCCAGCGGGCAGGGAATGGGGCGGCGGGGCTGGGCGGGGAGAGAAATAAAAAGGAAATCCTTCATTTTTTCTGCTTTCTCAAGTAGAAGTCACTTCCTGGTGTTTCAAGGCAGCAGGTGCTGTGCACACTCCAGGTCTTGTGCTGCTCCAGGTCTTGTGCTGCTTCAATTCCTTGTGCTGCATCAGTTCCTTGTGCTGCTCCAGTTCTTGTGCTACTCCAGCTCTTTGTGTTGCTCCAATTCCTTGTGCTCCACCAATTCCTTGTGCTGCTCCAGGTCCTTGTGCTGCACCAAATCCATGTACTGCTTGAAGCCCTTCTGCTGCTCCAGGTCTTGTGCTGCTCCAGCCCCTTGTGCTGCACCAGGGCCTTGTGCTGCTTCAAGGTCTTGTGCTGCTCCAGCCCCTCGTGCTGCACCAGGGCCTTGTGCTGCTTCAGATTCTTGCACTGCTCCAGGTCCTCGTGCTGCTCCAGCTGGGATCAGGGCAGGGGTGATGCTGTGCCTGTCCATGTGCTGCTGCCAGCATCACCCCCTGATTAAGTAGTTCTGTTGGCCAAACTGCCTGTTCAGGTTATGTCGCTCAGGGGAGCTGTAGTGAGCTGTACAGGCAAAAACTTCATTTTGCTGTGGTAATTTATGTCCCTGCTCGGCTGCTGTGCTGCTGTGGCTCGACCACCTGAGCATCGTGCGAGGTCTTTGCAAAGACAAGCACAAGGGCAGAGCTCAGCTTCAGAGTTTAATGCCTCTGAGACCTCAGTCACCTGAGTCACAGTTGTCTGGTCTAGGGAGGTAAGTGAGGCCCTGAATGAAGATCTGGGGTGCCCAGTTTGCCTAGGCTGGGCTGCAGCTCCTTTCAGCCTTGTCTTCTATCAAAACATGCCCTGAATTATCTTATGCCCTGAGCAATCCTGCATTTATTACAAAGAGAGTATCCTCAGCAAAGCTGCTGCTGCTGGTCCATAATTGCAGCTTTCTCTGGGTGACAGCAACTAGTTGTTAGAGCCGTTCACTGTGCTCAGGATGAGCAATCTTCTCTTTTCATTGCATAAATGCATCTCACATGCTCTTTCTTTGGCAGCTATGGGATATGGCCCTACCAGACCTTCAAGAAGCTGGGCATGCCTGGCCCACGGCCTCTGCCCTTTGTGGGGACTTTCCTGGAGTATCGGAATGTGAGTACCGACAGCTGCTGCTCTGTAGCTGCTTAGATTCTCATTTGTGGCTGGGGCTGTTTTTCCCATCCTTTGGGCACATCTTTTCTCAGTCCTTGATTCAGTCAAATGGAAATGATGCTTTCAGGTAGGAAGCTCTTTGGACACTCAAAGAACACAAAAATTCAGGCTGACCCAAACGAGTTGTGCTATGTTTCACAGCTACTTTGTAGTTTAAATGATTAGTTTCTCCCTGTGTTTCTGGCTGCTCTGGAGCAGCTCATGTTCTATTAGAAACAAAGAAAAGGAAATATTGGAGAGGTGCCTAATACTGCTGATTTTTGAGAGCTGCATGTTTCTTTGCCCTTCTTGTCACTGACATGATGAGTCTGAATTAGCCCCAGCAATGCCCCGTTCAGCCAGTTGCTGTTGGGGCAGCTGAGACTAAGCCAGACAAATAGATTTTAAAATAAAACTCAAACATTATCAAGTTACCAAACCTTATCAAATAACTAGGTAGTAGCTGATCCCAGGTAACTGATTGCAAATGCACAGCAAATGTATTGGCTTCAATTAAAGTGGTATTTTACTTGTGTTTGCTGAGTTCATGGCATGCACGTGGCCTCTTACCAATGGCTTAGTTGATGCATGGTGAGTGTTATATGTCCCATAAGTTTCATCCTTACATGTAACATCAGTTAAAACCTGGAAGAAAACAAAGCAAAACAAAAAAACCTGCATTCACTTCAGTAACTGCAGTGAGAGATCATACGAGGCCATAGCAGCTCTAAGTTGTTGAGCTGAAGGTGAAAGGACACCTGGAATCTAGTTCTGCCTCTTAGCTCTGCTCACACTGAAACTGTGTACCCTATCATACCTTGTGTTCGTTACATTTTTAGCTCAGGTTGACTGGTGGAAGTTGAAAGTGCTTTTGTCCTTCATTTTTTTCTCTCTGCTCTCTTATTCCCTTCCAACTAATATCCCCTAAGTGTCTACATGATGCTTAAGAGCAACCATGCACCTCCCAGCCTCAACCTCTGCCACTTACAATGGGTCTGTGGGATGCACTATGCTGCCAGCTGTGACTTGCTTTGATCACTTTTCACTAGCATACTGTTAATTTCTCCTTTCTTGTTTTCCAGGGAGTCCTGCATTTTGACCAGATATGCTTTGAAAAGTATGGAAAAATTTGGGGGTGAGTTTCTGTGGAATAAAACTACCTGTTTGGGGTGCTCCACAGCCCCAAAATAGAATGAAGAAAGGTACATTGCTATCATCTCTCAGCCCTGTAACTCCAGCAGAGACAGCTTGGGAAAATACAGGTTCAGCACTGGGAAAGTCTTCACCCATCTCTCCAAGGCTTCTCTCCTGCTGAGATTTCAGTATGGTGCAGGGCTGGGATGATGGTGGCCAGTTTGGGGGGTCATTTGTTTGCATTAGCTTTGAAAATAACCTCCACTGCTTGGTGTCAAACTGAGCCTCCTGCCTTTGAAGCTGCTCCTCTGTCTTGAGCAAAAAAGCAAGCCACGGGCTGCCACGGTGTGTTTCATCTTACTCCCTGCTTCTCCCAGAGCTGGGGCACAAGCTACCTTTCAACCTGCCTCCCTGCTCCCTGCACAGCACTGGTTTTGTGCAGGGGCCTCTTATCATCCTTCTATTGAGAACCTCTCAAACTGAAGCAAAATTGCTGCGCAGAAAAATCCTGGGAGGCTTCGTGGAACCTGGTGCATTTTTTCGGAAGATTAAAATGTTCTCGAGTTCCTTGAAGATGGCAGTTTCCCTCAGCTGCGGCCCAAGGCTCCCTGCCCTTTAGCCCACACCATGACTTTTAAGTTTTTCTGTCTCTGTTGATTGGAAAATGGAGGAGACAGATGAGTTTTTCACCTCTCAGTGTCTCATAGGCCAGGCAGGGAAATCTCTTTACCCCACAAGTAGGCTGTGCAGTGTGGCTTTATTGTCTCCAGCTGTCAGTACTGGAAACAGAGCTCAGACATCCCAAGTGCAGAGGGTCAATGTCGTGGCAAAAACTGCCTTTTATCTAAGCCCACACTGCTTGGGCAGCTCTTTAACACACAGACAATTGGTAGAAATGCTCATGCTGTCTGTGTTTGGCACTTTCTTACCCTTTTTCCTGTCTTACTACATAACAAGTTTCAGCCTCATCCTTTTGACTGTTTTGTCAGAGAGGACTCAGCTGGCCCAAATTCTTTGGGCTCCAGCAGTCAGTGTGCCATGGCTCTGGCCACAGACAGACCAGGCTGCTTTTGCTCCAGCTGACCATGAGTGATGGACTGACTGTGGGTTTCTCTTGGCTTAGGATTTTTGATGGCAGGCAGCCTGTGCTGGCTGTGTTGGACCCCATCCTCATCAAAAACATCCTGGTGAAAGAGTGCTATACCATTTTTACTAATCGCCGGGTAGGTACCTAGTCCTGTGCTTTGCTCTCCAGTACAGAGCACATGCAGCAAGAAAGGAGGAGTTTCTTCTTTGCTTCTGTTCTCCTCTGTGCCCTTCAGCAAATACTTGCTCTCTGCTGTGCCCCAGTTTATTGATGGTGCCAACATCAAAACCCTGCTAGGGAGGTGTAGAGGCCACTCTGGCTGGGTCACTGGGCCGTGAGCCTGGACATGCCCTAGGGCTGATGTCATTTATGACTCACGCTTTTGTTTCCGTTTCTGTTGTTGAGGTAGAGCAGACATGACTTCACTGGACAAATCAGCACCCGATGGTGGGCTTTTCTTTGCATTTCTGTTGTGTGGAAGGGGGCTGGAAACCTTCACCCAACATGCTGTATAACCATGTTCCTTTTGCTGCAATGTTCTTCCTGTCCAGAACTTTGGTCTGAATGGGTTCCTGGAGTCAGCCCTCAATGTGGCAGCAGATGAGCAGTGGAAAAGGATTCGTACAGTGCTGTCTCCAACCTTCACTAGTGGGAAGCTGAAGGAGGTAAAGTAGAGGCCACTGATACTTTGCATCAATAGCTGGAGGAGGACTGGGCCTTTTCTGAGTGTAGACCTTCCCCTCAAACAGGGAAGTCTCCCTTTTTGTCAAGACCACATCCATGAGCATCTGCC